TATTTTATTTTGAATGAATATAGTAATAGTAAACTTGCCGCAAATTTTATTATAAAGACCTTAAAAGATTACATAATATGTAATAATTCATTTCTTGTTATATACAGATATCTATGTCTATTATATTTATTTAAAAATAGGAAATTGACAGAATAAGAAGGAAGGTATTAAAACTACTGAATTGATTAGACATCATCGGTCTGCATAATGTACTAATTAAAGTTACTTCATCTAATGCTTCTCTCTGCAACTTCACGCCATTATCTTCTTTTTTTAATCTAGTACAGAAGACACGTGAGCATCCAACATGATAAAAGCTCAATATTATTTTCTCTATTCTTTGCCAACACAATGACATTAGACTTTCCCCCATACGTTCCTCACTGATCCCAAGATTTCTTCAGAGCCTTGCTCGCCAGACTCTGGCGCTCTGCCCTGTAGTCAATGAAGAAATATGGTATAAATAATTCGGTTTTTCATGACAATTTTTATCAGCTATATGTCTTCTTATGCACTCAAGAAGATAATGCCATTCCAGACTTCTCAAAGTAAAGGAACCATGACATCCGTAGTATAAGTCCCTTCACTTTGTTCGCTCCAGGATGAACCACTTGAGAGCTTTTAACTACTCCATATCTCACCACTGGTTAATATATATTGGGAAGTTATCCTATAACCATTTACACAAAGATAAATACTTGATAATTACTTACAGTATGCTTAAGATACGTTCCGCTATTTTACTAGCTCGAATTCATACTCTTTCCATTCAATATTGTGTAAAATACACCCCATATCTCTTGAAGCATATGAATCCTTCACAAACTCGTTGCATATAGACTCGACTGGATTGGGGAGAAGGGTTTTCATATCTTCACATGGTTTCTAGTATTGAATGTAAATATTAATATATAAACTAAGCTTACTCCTAAATTGTTCTTACCATAAATCTATGCCTCTGCTTACCCTTCAAGATATTCACTATCACCGAGTCATCACTGATCATCATATTAGCTTCTGGATCTTTCCATGTAAGGACAATTTTTTCTAAAGATTTATATCTGTACTCACGGATGCTAAATATAAAATTGTTATCCAAGTTTTTTTCAAAGTGATATTTTACAAAAATTCAAAATAATCTAACCTATCTCGAGCTTTAACTTCAACTTATTAAAAATTTCTTACATCTATAATCTGGATCCAATTCCTTGTCCTAAATGTTTGTTAGCATTTTTAATATTAATATTATTTAAAAATATCTTTATCATATTACCATATTCAACATATTTTGATATCTGGTCTCAACCTATACCACGATAATAATAAAAATACCGGTATAATAGCTTCATGTTATGAAATTTTTAGACATTATTAGGAAAATATTATATTTGCACAGTGCATGATCGGATATTCTAATTCGTTGGTCAGCATTATTTTTGACTAGATAATCATGGAAGGGTAAACCTTTGACATCGTTCTTCCAGGCCAACATCCCTTCATTCTTCCGCTATCACATACCAAATCTAGCTTAACATACACAATTGCCCAAGGTACCATCTTCAGTCGACAAATAAAAAACAACGACTGTGCTACAACAAATAATGTCTAGAGACCCTTTCAACATTCGAGTCTCGATTTTTGATATTAATATTAAGTCTGAAATAGTGAAAGTTATATAATAATAGAGATGTATATGTTAATTATATATATCCGAATTTAATATGTATTAGTATTATTATTATTATTATTAGCGGATTTGGTGGTTTAGTAAATTTTCGATACCAAATTTTCCTATATATATTAATACTAATAATTCTAAAATGTAACAGACCTTTAATTCTTAGATTTGATTTAAACGGAGGAATTTACTGTAAATGATTGATCACTTTAAAAATCACTTGAAAATAATTTTACACAGAAGGTTCAAGTAATACATTTAATTAGAATAAAATTGGGATTTAAAAGAAATCGGAGAACTATATAGATGATAGAACCTTTAACATGGATAAATAACGTTGTAATTTTCTCAGCTTCATGTATAATTTTAATAATCATATTTATAATCAATTTAATTAATAATCATTTAATAAATAACACTGTCCTTAACCTTGTCCTTGTCCTTGTTGTTGTCTTCGAATATTATATTTTTGTAATGATAATAAATCTACCTCTAACAATGAATTCATACTAACCCGTGCATAATTATTTTCTCCTGTTTTATATTTGTCTATATTGTTTTTATTGTTATTTATTTATTTCTTTTCTTTTAGTGAGGTAATATTTAATAAATTTTATTTAGTAGTTTTTTGGAGACGTACCTGATTTGGTAGCAAAGAGGAAAACGGCTAAAGAAGGGCACCCACCAAGGAACGTGATCAGGATATATAGTGTAAAATCTAAAAGATATTATTTAATAATAGTGAAAGATAGTTTTGAGGGTAAAGCATAAATATACATTCGCGGAATTGTTGTTACGATTTAGTATAAATAAATTGGAAGAAATTGTATTAACATTGTTGTCATTTAAATAAATGAATATTGAGATCCATTGTGAGACGCAGATTTCGTTCTCGCGATATGCAACTTTTGTCACGATACATTTTTTTAAATTTATATATGTCAATCGCCCAGCGAGTTTCTATTGTTGATCGGCGGACCAAATTTTTTTTATTTGACAAAACCACAAATAATTTTTAAAGATGGAAAACATTTTAGATAAAGATGATGATCAATATTCAAAGGAAAGAAAAACATATCTTGGGGAATGTCCAACTTGCAATAGACATAATACTGATTGAACATGGTGCCAATCATGCAATCCAAAACTATTAACTGAAGGATGGACTAGTGGTAACGAAACATTAGATGAGTTGATTAAAAGTACACAACTTAAAGCAACAAGATATAATAATTATTATCATCAATGGATTTCTTATAATGATTTAACAAATATTGAAAAGATGGGTGAAGGTGGGTTTGCAACTATATCCAAAGCTACTTGGTTAAATGGTAAGAAAAGTGTAAATGATGAAAATAAAAGAACTGGTGAAGATAGGACTGTGGCATTAAAAAAACTACATACACAGACAGACTCGATAAGTCAGCCCGCAGTAATCAATTGTTTAAAGTACTCAATAGTATAAATTATGCGGCTGACTTATCGAGTCTGTCTGTGTAATTCACAGAATATTTCTGGTGAGTTTCTTAATGAGGTAAATTATTTTCTATTTCTATATTTTTCAAATTTTTTAAAATATTATTCTGAAATTCAATATATTTATTTAGTTCAGAAATTATGTTACATTTTATGATAAATCATTTATAAATAAAATTTATGGATTAACACAAGATCTAGTTACAAAAGAATATATCTTTGTAATGGAATACATGGAATATGGAAGTCTTCAAGATTATGAAGATCAATATTCAAAAAAAAGAAGAAAATATCATGGGGAATGTCCAACCTGCAATAAATATAATACTAATTATTCATAGTGTCAATCATGTGATCCAAAGCTATTAACTGAAGGATGGACTAGTGGCAATGAAACATTAGATGAGTTGATTAAAAGTATACAACTTAAAGCAACCGAGTATGATAATAATTGGTATCTTCAATGGATTCCTTATAATGATTTAACAAATATTGAAAAGATTGGTGAAAATGGTTTTACAACTATATCCGAAGCTACTTGGTTAAATTGTTATAAAAGTGTAAATCACAAAAATGGAAAATATATCAAAACTGGTACTAGCAAAGATAGGTCTGTAACATTAAAAAAACTATGTAATTCACAGAATATTGCTGATGAATTTCTTAATGAGGTAAATTATTTTATTTTTTCTATTTATTTTCAGATTTTTTAAATATTATTGTTATTATTAAATATTTTATTTGTTATTTTAGCTCAAAAATTATACAAAATTTCATGATAAATTTTATATTTATGGATTAACAAGACCCAATTACAAAAGAATATATCTCTGTAATGCATTACAAGGAAGATGAAAATCTTCAAAATGATGAATACTATGGTAAAAGAGGGGAAATTTATGGGAAATGTCTAACATGCAATAGATATAATACTGATGAGGCATGGTGTCAATCATGTGATCCAAAGCTATTAACTGAAGGATGGACTAGTGGCAATGAAACATTAGATAAGTTGATTAAAAGTACACAACTTAAAGCAACAAGATATAGTTATTATTCTTACCTTCAATGGATTCCTTACAATGGTTTAACAAGTATTGAAGAGATAGGTAAAGGTGGGTTTGCAACTATATACAAAGCTATTTGGTTAAATGGCAACAAAGAAATTCGTTGTTATTATGATAAAAAACAATAACTAGTTATGATAATAAGACTGTGGCATTAAAAAAAACTACATAATTCACAGAATATTTCTGATGCTCCTATTGTATATTAATAATAATTTTTATTGTATATAGTAATAACATTGTGTCAATATTTATTTGTTTTCTTCAAAAAATAGATCTAGAATCATTGTTATGCGACCATCAAAAAAAATCAACTGATGGTAATAAGTAATGATACTACCGCTATGAATGATAATTCTTTATTGTATATAATAATAACATTATGAGATCTATGGTTAAACGAGTCATTGTTACGCGTACTATTAATGATATATATAATAATAACATTGTGAGATTTATGGTTAAACGAATCATCGTTCACGTCATAAAGAGTTGATAAAATCAGGAACAGAATTGCCTGTCCTCAACACAGATCTAGCACTCACATGGGTGTAGAAGAATTGCCTGCCACACATGAGAATGAATCTGTGAAGATTGATGGCGGAATTGCCTGCCGAGTCTGCATGATTTTGCTTCTTGTTTTGGCTAGACATTGGCATTTTGAAAGATTTTTAACAAGTTTTTTTTTTAAATAATATATTTCAATAATAAATATAGTAAGTGATCATATATTATTGAACAAAAATATATATATACATCTGGATAATTAATTATAATTCCTAATGATGTGTAAGAACTAATGCAACGCGACATGGAATATAAACCTATTTATATAAATATATGTATATATTAACTCGTATATATTAACTATTTTGGATCAAATTAATATATAATAAAAATTATATTTATTTATATGTACCTTGATGAAATTTTTTCTTCCATTCCAAGGTTCGGGAGTTGAAAAATAAGGTATACTTTCATTTATTCTATCATGACCTCCAAATTTTTTATTATCCAAGTTTAATATAACGGTATATTTACCCGACCATTCTGTACCAACTTTATAATCAGAAAATGAATTTGTAGGATGGAAATTGAAAATCCATAACAAATTTCCTCGTTCGAACACTATAACCTTATCACTTTCATGCTTTGCTGAAATATATGCCTTCAAAAACAATTATTATTATTATTATTATTATTATTATTATTATTATTATTATTATTATTATTACTATTTAATTAATTAATTACCTGAGGTGAATCTAACCAATGATGTTTTTCTTCTAAATTTTGCATGGCTTTATCAAACTCATTCAAATATCTATATCTTAAATTTTTGTCATCAACGATATTCCATTGTCTTCTTGCATAATGATACGAATTATTATTTCCCTGGCGAGGAAAATCTAACCATTCTGGATGTCCAAATTCATTGCCTTCAAAATTAAGATATCCTTCACCTCCAAGTCCGTGAGTTAATAACCTGAATTGAATTAAATGAGTAATATAATAAATATTGTTTCAAAAAATAGAAATACTATCTACCTTATCATTTTATGTAATGCAATTCCACGATCAATAATTGGTGTACGAGGAGTCAAATCAGACATATTAGTATACATTTCTTTATCCATTAACCAGAAAGCAATTGTTTTATCACCAACAAGTGCTTGATCATGAGATTCAGCATATGCGATTGTCTTTTCCTTTTTTTAATTATTTATTTTATTTCCAAAGAAATTCAATTTATTTAAAAAAAATATATATAAATTATTAAAATAAACATAATAATATAAAATAAAAATTTACCATATGTCTTCTATTTATTAATGTCCAACAAATATCTCCAACATTCCAATCTTCATCACGTTGTTCTTTCAATAATTTAATCCACATATCAGGGATAGCCATAGCTAATCTATAATCAAACCCAGTACCACCTTCAGATATTGGACGACATAAACCAGGCATACCAGACACATCTTATGTAATGATAAATTAATTGTAAAATAAATAAATAAATTATTATGAAGATGTGGCATATTTTATATAAAATTACCTTCTGCTATTGTATTAATATTTGGATAAAGTTGGTGCAACGTATCATTTGCCTATTAAAAAATCAATATATACTTACTAATAGATATAGACTTTAAATTAAATTATAAAATATTCAGATTATAAAATTACCAGCATTAAATACGTAACAGCATCTTCATCCACACTATCACCAAAGTATTCATGATAGCCACCAGAAAATCCAGTTCCAATACCATGATGAGTGTACATCATACTGGTAACTCCATCAAATCTAAATCCATCAAACTTATACTCCTCCATAAAAAATCTAAGATTTGATAGTAAAAATCGAAGCACTTCCCAACTTCCATAATTAAACAAGCGACTATTTATAATAATAAATAGATATTTTTTAATAATATTAGTAGCAATATATTATTATACATTCATTTATATATTTTATATTTATGAATATAGTATTAATGATCATCCTAATTACCTATCCCAAAGCTCATGTCTTCCTTTCCCTCCTTCATGGAAGTAGCAATTATCTGAACCATCAAACATATTCAAGCCATCCAAAACATTTTTGCAAGCATGTGAATGAACTATGTCCAAGTATACAGTCAGACCAATTCCATGAGCAGTATCAATAAGATATTTTAATTCTTCAGGAGTTCCTGTTAATTAGAATGAAAAAAACATTCATAAAAATTATTAATATAATTATAATGACAATGATAAGAAATAATTTAAACACATACCATAACGACTGGAGATAGCATAAAAACTGGTAACTTGATATCCAAAAGATGCATAATATGCATGCTCCATGATAGCCATCAATTGAATAGTATTATAACCTAGATCTTTTATACGAGGTAATATATTATCTGCAAACTCTTTATAAGTCCCAATACGACCTTCAGGTGTTGATATACCAACTTATATATATGTGTGTGTGTATAAATGTATTAATATATATTGAGTAATAATGAGAAATGGTTTGATTGGTAATTAAAACAGGTGATGCAGAATG